CTAGCTCCTTTATGTGTAAGGTTAGCTTTTGTATTTGAGTTCTTTCCAGTTTTTGAATGGATGCTTGTATTGCGATGTATTTCCCCCTCAGGACTGCTTTTGCTGCATCCCAAAGATTTTGAACAGTTGTATCTTCATTCTCATTAGTTTCCATGAATCTTTTTAATTCTTCCTTAATTTCCTGGTTGACCCTTTTATCTTTTAGCAGGATGGTCCTTAACCTCCACGTGTTTGAGGTCCTTCCAAACTTCTTCTTGTGATTGAGTTCTAATTTCAAGGCGTTATGGTCTGAGAATATGCAGGGGACGGTCCCAATCTTTTGGTATCGGTTCAGACCCGATTTGTGACCCAGTATGTGGTCTATTCTGGAGAAAGTTCCATGTGCACTTGAGAAGAATGTGTATTCAGTTGAGTTTGGATGTAAAGTTCTGTAGATATCTGGTCCAGTGTATCATTTAAAGCTCTCGTTTCTTTGGAGATGTTGTGTTTAGAAGACCTATCAAGGGTAGAGAGAGCTAGATTGAAGTCACCAAGTATAAGTGTATTATTATCTAAGTATTTCTTTACTTTGGTTAATAATTCGTTTAAGTATTTGGCAGCTCCCACATTCGGGGCATATATATTGAGGATTGTTAAGTCCTCTTGTTGGATAGATCCTTTAAGTATGATATAGTGTCCCTCTTCGTCTCTCACTACTGTCTTCGGAGTGAATTTAGTTTATCTGATAGAAGGATGGCTACCCCTGCTTTCTTTTGAGAACCATTTGAATGGTAAATGGTTCTCCAACCTTTTATTTTCAGGTTGTAGGTCCTTCTGTCTAAAATGAGTCTCTTGTAGACAGCAAATAGATGGGTCCTGCTTTTTTATCCAGTCGGAAACCCTGCGACTTTTGATGGAGTCATTAAGCCCGTTCACGTTCAGAGTTACTATTGATAGATATGAGTTTAGTGTCATCATGATATCTATTTAGTCCTTGTTTTTGTGGATTGTTCCACTGAACTTCTTCTTAAAGGGGAATTTTAAGAGTCCCCCTTAAAATTTCTTGCAGAGCTGGTTTGGAGGTCACATATTCTTTCAGTTCCTGCCTGTCTTGGAAGCTCTTTATCTCTCCTTCCATTTTGAATGAGAGCCTTGCTGGATAAAGTATTCTTGGTTGCATGTTCTTCTCATTTAGGACCCTGAATATATCCTGCCAGCCCTTTCTGGTCTGCCACGTCTCTGTGGAGAGGTCTGCTGTTACACTAATATTCCTTCCCATGAAAGTCAGGGACTTCTTGTCTCTTGCTGCTTTAAGGATCTTCTCTTTATCTTTGGAATTTGCAAGCTTCACTATTAAATGTCGAGGTGTTGAGCGGTTTTTATTGATTTTAGGGGGGATCTCTCTATTTCCTGGATCTGAATGCCTGTTTCCCTTCCCAGATTGGGAAAGTTTTCAGCTAGGATTTGTTCAAATACATATTCTGGCCCTCTGTCCCTTTCGGCGCCCTCGGGTACCCCAATTAAACGTAGGTTTTTCTTCCTTAGGGTGTCATTTAATTCCCTTAATCTGTCTTCATGGTCCTTTAATTGTTTGTCTCTTTTTTCCTCAGTTTCCCTCTTTGCCATTAACTTGTCTTCTATGTCACTCACTCGTTCTTCCACCTCGTTAACCCTTGTCGTTAGGTCTTCTAGTTTGGATTGCATCTCATTCAGTTGATTTTTAATTTCTGCCTGATTGGATCTAAATTCTGCAGTCATGAAGTCTCGTGAGTCCTTAATGCTTTTTTCTAGAGCCACCAGTAGCTGTATAATAGTGCTTCTGAATTGGCTTTCTGACATTGAATTGTAATCCAGATTTTGTAGCTCTGTGGGAGAGAGGGCTGTTTCTGATTCTTTCTTTTGAGGTGAGGTTTTCCTTCTAGTCATTTTGCTCAGTGCGGAGTGGCCAAAAACAAGTTGTATTGGGAAAAGGAGAGAAAGAGAGAGAAGGAAAGAAAAGAGAAAAAGAAAAAAGAAAAAGAAAAGAAAAAGGAAAGAAGAGAAGAAAAAGGGAAAGAAAAAGAAAGAAAGGTGAAAAAAAAAAGGGGGTGGGGGAAGCAATCAGAAATCAAAAAAAGAAGAAAAAAGAAAAAAAGAAAAAAAAAAACACGGGGGAGTATTTCTGTAGACTTTAAGTCCCTTGACTTCCCCTGGAACTGGTCAGTCCAGCTGGTCTTCTGGGGTAGGGGCCTGCTGTGCTGATTTTCAGGTGTTAGCACTTGGGGGAGCTGCTCTGCCCCTGCCTGCTGCAAGGCTCAGCGGGGGTTGTTTACCCCGTGAGGTCTCAGGAGGAACAGTTGCAGTTGCTATGGCAACTCAGGAAGCCTGGATTCAGCCTCTGCAGGAACTACTGGGCTCTCCGTCTGTAGGGCCTGGAGGCTCCGGGGCGGGGCCGCTGATCTGCTCAGCTCCGGGCAGGAGCGTCCTTACTGTCCTGTGCCCTCCCGGCCTCTGCCTGTCCCGGGGGGAGGCCGGATCCTGGGCTGTGTCCCGGCGCCCTGTGCTCCGGGGCCTGCGCTGTTGGATTTGCGCTCCCGCCCCGCAGCTTCCTCCGCGGAGCCGCTCCCGAGCCCCTCCGAACTGCTCCGGTGCGCGCTGCAGCCCTTAGGGAGCTCGGAGCACTCCCCTGCGCTCGCATGTGTCTGTTAGTGTCCCCGGGAGCCCGAGGGCATCCCCGCCCTCCTGGGTCCTGCTCCAACTCCCTGCGAGCCCCTTGCCGCCCGGGAAGGATGGTGCAGCTCCTGCTTCTCCGGGACGGGGCTCTCATGTCCTGGGGACACTCGCCCCGGCCTCAGCCCGGCTCCTCGCGGGGCCCCTCCCCCTCGGAGGCCTTTTGTTCCTTTATTTCTTTTTCCCCGTCTTCCTACCTTGATAGAAGCGCGAACTCTTCTCACTGTAGCGTTCCAGCTGGTCTCTCTTTAAATCTCAGGCCGAATTCGTAGATTTTCAGGATGATTTGAAGGTTATCTAGGTAATTTGTTGGGGACAGGTGATTTGGGGACCCTACTCTTCCGCCTTCTTGCCCCTCCTCCTTTTTCAGAGTTTTTTTAATCACTCTTTTGAATCTTTCAGTAAGGAAATGTTAGTGTCAATTTGAAGAAGTCTTTTTGAACACTTTGTAAACTGAGCTTACATCTAAAATAGTAATAATAATCAATACTCCATCTGTTGGGCAATTCTAACCCTTCATCTTTCCTTGTGCTTATTAATATTGACTCAGTATGAAGGCAGTGATAGAATTCAGTTCAAAAGCATCAATTTATATAGATAACAGATAATACTATTGCATTGGTCACCAGAAAGTGCAACAAGCAGTTATTCTGGGATTCTTTCTTCCCTGAAGTATTTTTTAGGATTTTACAAAAACACTCAATCCATACAACTACTTTGAAGAAGAAACTCTTGATTAACCCACAACTTTATTAATAAACATAACCCTTTTTGTCATCTTTAGAAAACATCTTCAGCTTAAAAGAGAGACCTCTTACATCTTTTGTCCATGTGATAGGTATCACACTATTTCTCAACATCTGCTTCTGTTCTACATTTAGAGTATGGGAAATATAAAAAACTCTCAAGTCAAGTTAGTTACGACCAAATGCCTTGTTACAGCCCAGGAAATATGAGAGGGAGTGATACAAAGAACCTCTGAGAGGAAGTATTTAGTAAACAGAACTTGACCCTCCAGTCATGTCTTCTGTCTTGGGAACACATGTAAAAATGGAGACATCCTAAGGACAAATCAACTTGGAATGTCAGATAACAAGGAAAAGACACTGCCCCAGAAGGTCATGTGCACCCAATTTGGACTTTAAATGTTTAAGAAATAAACCTATGTTTTTAAGGCATTGACAATCTGTTTTTACCTTGGTATCCTCATACACATTGTTAATATGTTAATATAACCCTTTATAAGGGTCTCTTGTAAATATTAATTTTAGCTTCTAGCTCTAAGCCAACTGTTTTCTATAGGTTTTTCCATCAATGTCACACACAGACCTCTAGCTTAATTAATTCATGATAATGATATTTGATAACAACCCCGAAGATCCTATGATAAATCAGAGAATGGATATATATTACAAACTCTATGGTATTTTAGAATATTTCAGCAAATGTTAATGGAAACTTCCAGGACTACTCTTTAACATCTCAGTTTCACTGGAAAAATATTAATTAGACATAGGCAAAGTTATTTTTGTATAATTTCATAACAAAGAAGATAACAGAGAAACCATGAGACCATTTTTATACTTATTTGTATAATTTTCAAATGTTATTAATTTAAAAATATTAAATATTAATTTTGCAGATACATAAATACTTTTGACTGGTTACCTTATTTGTAATCAAGTGGAGATTAAGTATGGATGACATTCAATGATATATGTGTCTCATGGAATAAGATATCTCCTCTGAATACATGTGTCTCCACGGCACTTCACCATCATGGCTTCATCTTGTGAAAATTCCCAAAAAAGGGAGAAAATAGCACAATATCTGAAACTAGCATAACTTTTCTTATACTCCAGTTGTTATTAAGAGTTAAATTTAAAAAGGAAACATTGCATGTAAGGGAAGCACCAGGGAAATTTTATTCCATTCAAGTCTACATAAATCAATCCATAATAAACAGTCCTTTATACTCCTAAAAAACATATAACAGATGATTTATTATATTTCTAAAGCTGTCTAGTTCATGGTGCTTATGTTGCTTTAAATGTTAACTCTGAGAATAGTGTCTCTTCCTAGGCAAAGATATTCTGAGTTACTTATTATATGTAAAAAGCTGGCATTGTTTCTGTACAGATTTTTTTTAAAACAAAATGATACATAAAATCATAGGAATAAAGGATAAGTCACAAATTACTGCCTTCATATTAAAATTACTCTTTTGTAAAATAATGATTCAAAGCATCTCTAATGGAGAGCATGTGAACATCATGATTTTCAACTTTTTTTTTTGTTCAAAAGATCAATTTCTACTTTTTCCATTTACACATCCCCTTCCTCAGGAGTCTTTGCAGAGCATCCTTCACTTCTTTGTTCCTTAGGGTATAGATGAGAGGGTTCAACAATGGTGTGACTAAAGTGTAGAAGAAAGTGAATAACTTGCCATAATTTGAAGCAAAGTCATTCTTAGGGTCTGTATAAACCATGGCCACTGTCCCATAAAACATGAGGACCACAATGAGATGAGAAGAACAGGTGGCAATGGCCTTCTGCCTTCCATCCTTGGATTGGATTTTACCTAAGGCTTGAGCTATGTAGCCATAAGAAGTCAGGATTAACCCCATTGGCACAATGGTGAAAAGGTCAGCAGAGATGGTCATTTGCCATTCAATGGCAGAGGTATTTCCACATGCCAGGCGTATGAAAGCAGGAACTTCACAAATAAAATCATCCAAATGGTGGTGGGTGTATAAAGGAAGTTGGAATGTGATGGGAGATTGGGTTACAGATTCCATCAATCCAGACATCCAGGCTATGAGCACCAGCTTCCAACAGAACTGATGATGCATGATGATTGTATAGTGCAGGGGCTGACAAATAGCTACATAGCGGTCAAATGCCATCACCACCAACATGACACCTTCTGTGGCACCAAGACAGAGCAACACAGAGAGTTGGATGACACAGCCTGTGTAGGTGATGCTCTTGTCTGGCCCCCACAAATTGTACAACATCTGGGGCACAGCAGTTGTAGTGAAGCAGAGATCCAAGAAAGAAAGATTGCTAAGAAAGAAGTACATGGGGGTGTAGAGATGAGGGTCCACATAAGAGAGCAAGATAATGGTTGAGTTGGAGAGGATGATCATGGTGTACAAGATGATCACAATCCAGAAGAGAATCATTTCTAGATGGGGCCATTCAGAGAAGCCCAGAAGTATAAAGCCAACTTGGAAACTGTTGTTTGTAATTCCTAGTGCTTTTGGCATTAGGGTGGGGACATAATAGTAAGTAAGATTTTGTGAATGAATTTTTAAAGAAAGCTGTACTACAAGCATTATTAGTTTTCCAGGGGGTTTTGGGCCATAGAACATATATGTGCTTTTCCCATATATAATCAGCAATATTATACAATCTCTTCCATAATGTTGTGGCTTTTATACAAAAGGGATATTTGTAAGATACTGATGAGGAGAACAAAGGCAAGAGAAATGCGTGGAGGCAGAGAAAATTAAGGCCACTCCACTTTAAGTTCAGTGTTAGTATCACAAGTGCAGCCATCCCAGGCCCCTGTGAATAAGAGCTGAACTTTACCTTACTTCAGTTACAGGAAGAAAACAGCTTACAGCTTAAAGTCCTAGAAAGCCCCATATTAGAATAAAAACAGAGCCCAAGCCAAGGGCAGGAAGCCCCTATTAAAATAAGAACAGGGATCCCTGGGTGGTGCAGCGGTTTGGCGCCTGCCTTTGGCCCAGGGCGCGATCCTGGAGACCCGGGATCGAATCCCACATCGGGCTCCCGGTGCATGGAGCCTGCTTCTCCCTCTGCCTGTGTCTCTGCCTCTCTCTGTGACTATCATAAATAAATAAAAAAATTAAAAAAAATAAAATAAGAACAGAGCTCAATGCCCTTGAAGGCCCAATATCAAAATGTAAACAGAACTTGAGGAATTGCTCCAGCCCTTCTGGAGGTCCTGGAGACCAGCCCTTAAAACTAAGCTGAAACCCACCTCGGGGTCCAAGTCCCTGCTCTGCTGTGTCGGGTACACTTGGACCCAAGCTCGAGCTTGTAAATAAACCCTCGTGTGTTTGCATTGGTGTGGGCTCCTCGGTGGTTTCTCGGATTCACAATCTTGGGCGCAACAAAATGTAGCTAAAATTAAATCTCCTTACGACTTACAGCTTGCTGATAAATACCTGAGGCATGCACACTATGACATTCTTCAAGGGACTCTTGGCTGCCTCAATGTTGATATTTCATTAAAGACTAAAAGCAACCTTATTAATTGTCAGACCTCCAAGGTCCTGTAGAATATTTTCACCATAGAGAAATTCCTTAGAAACTTACCTTATCTCTACCCCTGTTCCATCCACAAACTTAAAGGTATATAAGCATTCTCTTCTCACAATCACAAATGCAATTCTTTCTGCTCACAAGTCCTGTCCACGTGCTATGATAAAAGCACCATTTGCATCATAAAAGTCTCAAGAATTCTTTTTTGACCATTGCACTTGATGGCCTTGCATCAATACTACCCTGAGGACTTCTCTCTGGGATATACTCACATCACTCCCAATATATACCCTATGTGATTACCATAGATCATATTCATGTTCTTCCCAGATTTTCTTTTTGGCCACATATACAGTATCTCTTCAGAATATTTGGAATAAAATGTTGCATACAAAGTAGTCCCCAGTATTGCTTGGGTTTAATTTGCATTATTTGGTGATGTTAGTAAGAACACGAGAAATGGAGATTATCCTAGGAACAAAGACCATGTGCTCTAAATACAGACACTAACCAGTGAAACTTTGAACATAAATCATCCTCTGAATGTCTGAAGAGCCACTTTGGAAAAAAAAGCCACCTTGGGATAGGTAACGTACCAGTTTTTATTTATTTTAATTTTTAATTTTGTTATTAGTTTTTACTACTTTTGGAAACACACTAGTTTTTAAATGAAGCAATGTTAGGTTGGAAATACCTGGTTGCTTAACCTTAACTAAATTAACTCTAGTTACTTTAAGTAAACAAGTTTAAAATTCTGACACTATTCTTATCTTAGTAACAGTTATAGTAACTCTCATCTCAGAGAATTTGGGCCCAGATTAATGGGGATAATGTTATAACAGTACTTGTCCCTTTGAGATAAAAACACTTAACATTATAAACTAGGAGAACAGAAAGCACTCTAATTGCTGTATAAATGCTATATAATTACCACCCTGTAAACTTCTCTTATTAGTTTTCTTCAGTAATCAGTAGGGAATAATAAATAAATTTCCAAAAATCATAACTAAAAGATGTAAATAAATCAAAGTAACAAAGTTATGAAATTTGATTATTTTAAAATTTTGTTTCATGGGCAGGAGAGAAAGATGGTGCATTACCATTATCTAAAGAATACAAACCTGCAGAGTACGATTTAGGAAAATTTTCCTTTAATATTAATTTTATATATTTGAAAAACTGAAGAATAGTTCAGGAAAAAATCAAGAATGTAAGACACATAGGATGCAAAAAGATGCTCTTTGGTGAAAGAAACAGAGTTTGCATATAGTAAAAATTTAAATTCGAAATTGAGCAACCAATGCAAAAATCAAAACACTATGGGAGGCAGATTCCAGTTTTTTTCCTTTTTTTTTTTGACTGATTTTATTAAATAGCAGCTTCACAGACATTTATTGAATACCTATCCTGTGCCACACACTGAATAATACTGAGGGAATATACTGTGAACACAGAGATGAAATCTTTGATTTACCAAACTTACAGTTCTGTCTGAACTCTAGGAAACACACTGGGGGTTGCTGGAGGGGAGGGGGTTGGAGGATCAGGTAATGGGGTGATGGGCAGTAAGGAGGGCATGTGAGGTGAGGAGCACTGGGTGTTATATGCAACTGATGAATCACTCACCTCCGCCTCTGAAACCGATAAGAAAAAACTTACAGTTCAATGAATGTGAAAAGAAAGTGAATAAATGAGCAAATTATAAAGATTCAACTATTTCTGATAATAACTACCATGAAAAAGGGAGGAAATCAGGGTATTATAAGTCAGGGTATCAGTGGAAGATTGAAGACCCAAAGGAAGATTATTTCACTCTAGGGGAATAAGGAGAGCACGTGGCTGGGTGCAGGAATTGTCAGCTCTAAGAGCTCCAGCATGAACTGGGAGGTCTAGGCCCTGTGCACTGCAAATGTTAGATGTCACAAACTCACCTTCTGCATTCAAAGTTCTCATGATCATACCCCGAACTGATATCCCTTTTTTTCTCTGCAAAGCACTCTGAGTTAAATACAAAATGCCTATTTTCTTCCATCAGACTGTATCGCCTCCATTTCTTTAGTTCTCTGTTTCTGCAGTTCTATTTTATCAATTTATCTTCACTTAAGAGTGCAATGTTGCATTAAACTGTGGCATTTGGATAAGAATGTTCAAGTCGTTCAATTGTTTTTGAAGTGACCAGGGTTCAGTTTTTCCTTATGCAAAAAAAAAAAAAATCAGATTGATGGTATTATGTACTGTTTTCTTTTTTTTAAAGATTTTATTTATTTACTCATGAGACAGACAGAGAGAGAGAGAGAGAGGCAGAGACACAGGCAGAGGGAGGAGCAGGCTCCATGCAGGGAGCCAGGCATGGGACTTGATCCCCGGTCTCCAGGATCACGCCCTGGGCCCAAGGCAGCGCTGAACCGCTGAGCCACCCGGGCTGCCCCTATGTACTGTTTTCTGATAAACTTATGTTGACTTATGTTTGTAAAAATTGTCTTTTCCATTCATTGAATGCATTTCAAAAACAATGTAATATGACTTAAGATATTTATGAAACAGAAAAGAAATGAAGGCAACTCTCATCCTCCCATCAATATAATATATACTAAAAAAATATAATATATACTATACAAATTTGGTTTCTTATTTTCAATACATAGTTTAATAACATATTGATGTAGTGTATAAAATCAGATACACAAAAGAGCCACACTGTATATAACAATATTTCTCTACATAGTATAATCATGTATATATTCTCATAACTTTGAATACTTTAGAAGATAACTTTTTAATACAAAGCTTTTAATATTTTGCCTTAGTAATAGAAATTATAAACATTTTTCTATTATTTTAAATGTAAATTTCTTCCAAAATTTTGCTAATCTAAAAAACACTGAGATGATTATCTCTGTAAACAATTCCTTGCTTCTGTGCTTACATTTTTTTTAATTAAAATAATCGTATCCTTTTCTGATTCATGCAGTCAGGTTGCTTCCCATCAAAGATTAACCAGATGGACCCCCAGATGGCAGTAGTTAGTTATTTTACTCACATTGCCACTGATAATCCTCTATTTTTTTCTCTTTATAATTTAGCAAGTAATAATGGGGACCTATTGTGGATTTAATTTGCATTTTTGTGATGATGTGTGGTTTGGTATTTACAAGTTGTTTGCAAAGTCTTCACAAAAAATTTGTGTCATTTTAAAATCTGATGAATTAATGTTTTTGATTAATATTTAAGAGATTCGTAGTGCAGAATTTTAGCTTATGATTTGTCATTAAATTCAACTTTAAAGGATTTTTTTTTTTTTAGCTCTCAATTCTTGTTTTAATTCTGTTTCCATATGGATTTAAAAGGCAGCATAGAGGGGATCCCTGGGTGGCGCAGCAGTTTGGCGCCTGCCTTTGGCCCAGGGCGCGATCCTGGAGACCCGGGATCGAATCCCACATCGGGCTCCCGGTGCATGGATCCTGCTTCTCCCTCTGTCTGTGTCTCTGCCCCTCTCTCTCTCTGTGACTATCATAAAATAAAAAAAAATAAAAATTAAAAAAAAAATAAAAGGCAGCATAGAGAGCACTGATCCAAGAGAGGGTGTGTGTGCGTGCATGTGTCCGTGTAAAGGATCTTTTTAGGGTCAATTTCCTTTTCTCCTCAGAAGTATGCATTTTTTTCATTTTTCAAATCTTAAATAATTTTTCATGATATTTTCTACATTGGCATTGTTCATAGTTTAGGTAAATCTTTACCCACACAATTGCCTAGTTATTTAACAGTTTCATTTAATCAATTAGATGTTTACATCAATTAAACCTTTAAATCAACTTAAATTAATTATTTATTTAAATTAAATATTAAAATCAATTTTGCTGCTTACATTTTCATTTAAAAAAAGTTTTTAAAGATTAACTTTATTTAAGAGAGAGAGAGAGAGAGTGAGAACACACAGGAGTGGGGAGAGCGCAGAGGGGGAGAGGGCGGGAATCTC